ACCCCGCCTCTCCCTTTATTCCAATTTCAGGTAGCTTGGCACTGAGTAATTGAACATTAAAAAATCGAGTTTGTAGACTTCGTACAGCTGCGTCTGGTGCTCTGAGCTGATGTTCTGGAAGAACTCCGTGGTCATTTCGTCAGTAGTTCTTGTGGACTTGGCGTAGGTGGGGAACTTCAGGTAGCTGCCCACTCCGGCCAGCTGCAGGACGTAATTGGAATCCTCCTCGAGCGTCTCGTACTTGCCCACGAGGTCGTAGTGGATGTGGCACGGGTGGCAGAGGGAGTGCACGGTCTGCCAGTGCTCGTTGAAGGGCTCCTCGCGCTGGGTGTGCGGGTCGATGAGATAGGCCACGAACTCCTCGAACTTGACATCGTCGCCCTTGCGCAGGGCCTCCTGCGTGGCGTTCTTGCGCTGCCGCTTGATGATCTTGGTGCCGTAGCGCTTGTGGAAGGACGTGTTGTACTTCTGCGTGAACTTGTTGCGGTAGGCGGACACCAGCCTCTCGAAGGGCTCGCGCACGAACAGGAACTTCAGGTAGCTCTTCAGGCGGTGGTTGATCTCGGGGATGCTGTACTGGTTGAGCGTCTTCAGGTTGGCGGCCACGTGCGCCTCGCTGGCCGGGATCTCCATGGGGTCGCTGTACTTGCCGCGCCCGCTCAGCACCATCATGAGCCGCTTCCAGTTGGTGCAGGCCACCTTGGGCACGTAGCAGTAGATGAGCTCGTGGTCCTCGTCCACCACCAGGTGCTTCAGGTCGCTGGGCGTCAGCACCCGCCGCTTGCGGNCCCGCCGCTTGCGGCTCGCGGCGCTGTTGGCGCGGCACGTGTCCGTGACCTGGTCGCGCCGCATCTGGTGCAGCACCGCGCTGTTGGAGAGCTCGAGCTGCAGAGGGGACACAAGAGGCACGCAGGGTTCAATACTCGGGTGGGGGACGGTTCCGCCGGGCCGCGTCCCTAACCGCGATGGCCAGGGCCGGGCCACCGAGACGGCCAACGGACCCCTAAGCGCCCCAGTCTCCATTTCTAACTCGCCATCGCCATCGGCTGTCTTTGCTCTTTGTCCCACCACCCTTCCTGTGTAGAATAACGAAATGGTCACCTCTGTGACTTACCCATCACCCTCTACGTGCCTGGCATTTTATTTATTTATTATTTATTTTTTAATTTATTTTTTAAAATATATCTTTATTGATTTCAGAGAGAGGAAAGGAGAGGGAGAGAGAGAGATAGGAACATCAACGATGAGAGAGTCATTGATCGGCTACAGCCCGCAACCCGGGCATGTGCCCCGACCGGGAATCGAACCCTGATCTCCTGGATCCTAGGTCGACGCTCAACCGCTGAGCCACGCCCAGCCGGGCTGGCATTTTACTAGAGCTAAGTATATACAGTTTTTCTTTTCACCGTGCAACAAACCTGAACTGTTACTGATTTATTTAATACCAAGTGCCTGCCATTGTGCCAGGCAACACGCTGCCAGGTACTAGGGATGCAGTAATAAGAGTGCAGTGAGGTGACGGCTCTCATGGAGCTTCCAGTCTCGCTGGGAGGCTCAGAGAGGTTAAGTTACTAGCTTGAGACCACACAGGTGAGCGACAGAGTCAGTATTGGACTCAGGTCTACCTGGCAAACAAAGGTGCCAGCCCCCCACCCTACCCTGAGGTCCAGCGCTCTGTCTTCTTGAATGACGCAGAAAGCAAGCATGGAGGTCTGGCATTTGATTGCTCTATTTTAATGCAAAGGGAACCATTTTTCTACAAGCCTGTCCTCGTGGACATCTGTTGCTTTTTGCTTACGCTGGTACCAGCGCCTTGATTCTCCTCTGGGAACCTGTGCTCCATTCTCAGTTCCCTTTTCTCTCAAGCTGCTGAGCTGTGAGGAAGGCACCTGGAGCTTGGGGACAGGGAGGAGCTAGACTGGGAATGAAGGGTATAGAGCAGAAGGACAGAGGGATGTGCTCCTGGTGATGTCATCTAAATACCTAGGTCTGTACGTTGTTGAAACCAGACCCCCAACTCCTGGGATTTTGTGACATTAGTCAATACATTTGCTTTGGTACGTAACGCAGTTTGAGCCTGGATTGTATCACTTGCAACCAAAATATTTAGGTACTGGCATGCATTCCTTTGGAGCTTTTCGTCTCTGCCATACTCATCCATCCATTCAAATGTGCAGATCTCACAGTGTACAAGGCACTCATTCTGCTCCGCTGGGAGATACGACCTTTTCCTAAAGGGCTCAGTCGAGGAGGCACCAGCCAGAGAGCTGGCAGCCTCACTCGGGGCCAAAGGGAAGATGTGTGTGAGCCTCTGAATTCTAGGAGCAAACGTTTCCCTCCAAGGGCCATTCACTTCCAGCCTGAACCAGTTCTCACAAACCACCTAGAACAGGAAACGGGACCACACCAGCTTGGGGTGCCTGCAGCCTGGTCTCCAACATCCAGAGACTTTCACCAGGTGGTGACACCCTATTGTCCAGGTGTAGGTCATGGAATTCAATATTTATTTTGAATAGGAAAACTATGACTTTTGCATTTCCTGACTTTAGCAGATATATTCATCACCTTAAAAGGAGCATTCATGCCATTTAAAACAACAACAAATTGTCCTAATGAAAATGGAAGGACCAGGAAGGAAAAAGGGCCCATCGATTTTGCCCATTTGACTCACTACGGACAGTTTTGAAGGCAATAAATTACTAAATGAGCAGAGAAGCAGGGGGAGCCCCCTCCCTGCCCTTTTTCCAGCTCTTTTCAGTTGGAGACAATTCTCTGGCCTTCTGAATCCCCAGGGAGGCAGCATGTCAGCTAATACTGCATTCAGGAACCACAATGCCATAAAAAATGGAAACGATACCCCCGTATCCTTTTACGTCCAATTGCAGAGACAGAAAATAACTCAGTGGGGCTTTGAAATGTGGTATTTGAGGTTTCTCTCTCCCATTTCCTTCTTTTCCATGGCAGCTGAGGTGGCAAACGGCACACCTGTAGCAAGAGGCATGCACGATTTCCCACAGGAGGACTTCGGGGCAGGGTCAGGAGAGTGAGCACGCCCTCAGTCGCGAGGCACAGCCAGGCCCCTTCTTGGAGGAAGTTCACCTGGGCCTCTAGCATTGAATTTTTTTTAACAAACTATTTTATGTTTTGTAATTTTAACTTTTTATTTTAAAATAATTTCAGACTAGTGTTGACTGAACTTACTAAAAATACAATGGTACTTAAAATATGCACAAATATAAAAAGTAGGTATATGAGACCCAAACAAATGTAAACACTGACATGAACAATATGAACCTGATGGAGGATGTTGTTTTACTGGAACTAAGCCCTGCTTGAAACGTGCAGGGAGCTCGCTGTCTGCTCTGGGCAGGTTCCTGGCCCTCTGATGCTCCTCGGTGCCACGAGGACTCAGTTTCCCCACCACTTTTTCATTTCTAGTTACTGTGAAACCCAGCACCCTGTAACATCATATGACTGTTGTCATTTTTTTGACAGTCTAAGAGAAAAGAGGTCAGTGCCCCTGACGAAATAGTCAGGTATTGCATATTTTTAAAATTCTTGCTGCACACCGGTTGGAAAATCACTGGCCCAGGACAATAAAAACGACCTACGCGGTGCCACCAACACCATCAGATTTCATATGGCAGGACTAGGCAGGTTACCAGAGGTGACCCTGACAATGCAGAAACGATTTAACTTTTTCAAAAGATTATCACCAAAATAAATAACCAAAATTTATACAATTCTCATGCAGAACTCCAAACCCCTGGGAGTTGTATCTGTGGATCCCTGAGCCTTGGTTTAAGAAAGCTGGTTAAGCCCTGGCCAGTATGGCTCAGTTGGTTGGAGCACTGTCCTGTACACCGAAAAGGTTGTGGGCTTTCTTCCCAGTCAGGGCACATACTTNGCACTGTCCTGTACACCGAAAAGGTTGTGGGCTTTCTTGCCAGTCAGGGCACATACTTAGGGTGCCCGTTTAACCCTTGATTCGGGCACGTATGGGAGGCAACTGATCGATGTTCCTCACATCGATGTTNTAGGGTGCCCGTTTAACCCTTGATTCGGGCACGTATGGGAGGCAACTGATTGATGTTCCTCACATCGATGTTTCTTTCTCTCTCTCTCTACCCCCTTTCCCCTTTCTCTAAAATCAATAAGCATGTCCTCAGGTGAGAATTAAAAAAAAAAAGAAACCTGGTTAAGGGAAGCCCTGGACAGGTAAGAGGGAAGAGAGGAATTCTTCGCCATCCTGCCAAGGAGAGATTCCTCATAGCAGCCCAGGCTATTCTAGAAATTTCTACATTTGTTATTAGGACCAACAGCATGTTAGAAATCACACGGAGACAGCAATTTCTAATCTTAAAAACATGTAAGCCTGGTCATGTGACTTCCACACCGGTCCCCAGGCAGGGCTCACAGGAGCTCTGGTAAGAGTAAAAGCTCTTCAGCCACGAACAAGTTCCCTGAGTATCCCCGCAGCCATGGGGGACAGGAAGACGAGGGTGTACAGAGGACTCGCTGCTGAAGAACAGTCTGCTCCCCTCTCACTGAAAGGCAACACCTGTCTTTTCCAGCCACGTTTTATCAGGTTCACAAAGCAGAGGTTTGTTGATCTGGTCATTATCTGAGCTGTGAAACCAATCTCTTTCCTTTCACTCCCTCTCCCCTCTCCCTTCTCTTTTTCTTTCTCACAGGTATCTGAAGCCACTATAATAAAGGACATATGTGCAGTATAAAATTGAAATAGGAAAAAAACAAATATACTAACCACAAGGGCTGTAATCAAGGATCTCACTCGGTTGTGGGCTTCCTAGTAGCAAGGGCAAAAGGGGAAATGTAATGAAATCTTGTTTCTGTGATCAGAAAGGAGAAGCATTCCAAATGCTTGGGGTAGGAAATGTACAAGAATTTCAGAGATTTCAGTCGGGGAGGGAGATTCTTGGATTCCGCTTGCTCACTTTGGAGTATTCGGAGGGTTGCTTGTCCCAGCTGACTGAATACCGATGTTACGATTCACTACCACCTAAAGTCCACAGAATGTTCCAGTGCTTACAGAACACTTTCATATACACCATCTCATTAAAGAGCCCACTGGAACTTCTCCAGAGCCTACTAAAAGAAGGTTTATATTTAACAGACCAGCCCGTACTTCCAACCACATGTCATTTTGTGGGGGAGGTGGGCTGGCTGCCGCCAAGTATTAATACTTCATGCTAGTGGTTCTCAACCGTCAGCACACATGGACATCACCTGGAGGGCTCGTTAGGATCCAGTGTGCTGGGTCGGGCTCCCATAACAAAATACCACACACTCAAGGTGGCTTAAACAGCAGAAATTTATTTTCTCAGTTCTGGAGTTGCGGGCAGGGCTGGCCTCCTCTAGGCCTCTCTCCTTGGCCTGCATATGTCCGCCTTCTTGCTGCCTCTTTTTTATTTTTTATTTTTTTAAATATATCTTTATTGATTTCAGAGAGAGGAAGGGAGAGGGAGAGAGAGAGAGAGAAACATCAATGATGAGAGAGTCATTGATCAGCTGCCTCCTGTACGCCCCCGACTGGGGATCGGCCCCGCAACCTGGGCATGTGCCCTGACCAGGAATCGAACCCCGATCTCCTGGATCCTGGGTCGATGTTCGACTGCTGAGCCATGCCGTCCGGGCTTCCTGCTGCTTCTTCATGTGGCTGTCCCTTTGCGCACATTTGTGCCTGGTGTCTCCCCTTCTTCATATTAGGACACCAGTCCAACTGGATTAGAACCCACCCTAAGGGACTCAATTTAATCGCCTCTTTAAAGGTCCTGCCTCCAAGTCCAGTTACATTGGAAGATAGTGGGGGATAGGACTTCAACATATGAACCTGGAGTCGTGGGGAGCCCATCCCACCAGGT